CCACACTCCCTTAGTAGGTGAGGGGGGACCGGCTTCCCAGAATAGCATTCAGGGACGAAGTTCCCATCCGAGAGGGGTGCTGAACGCACAGCCTGGCAGTGTGTTTTGGGGACTGGCTCTGGCGCACAGTAGGTCCCTGGGCTGTTTGCTGCATGGATGTGAGCGGGACCCTGACCACACTGGCACATTGGGGGGGCCCCTTTCCAATGTCACAAACCCCATCCCCCAGGAGATGGAAGCTCACAGAGGTCTTGCATCTTGTCCACACTCACACAGCCTGGAGGTGGGGGAGCTGGGGTTTGAACCCGTGCTGCTCTGCACAGCACACAGGCGGGGTGAGAGGTACCTTTGGCCTCTCCTGCTCTCCCTGGGCAGAGGGGTGTATGAGGGCCCTGAGCCCCTCATTAGATGGGCCCCAGGAAGTGTCCTTCGGGAAGGCGGTGGGTGGCAGTGGCCTGCCCAGCCCCCTGGCTGGCGGCCCCGTCTCCATCCTGAGGATTGGGGGTCGGGGGAGGCCGGCCGGCCCCAGCCCTCACCTTGTTGTGTGACCTTGGGGAGTCCCCTAGCTCCCGTACCCTGTGCTAGCGATGCCGCCTCCTCTCTGCCTGTCCCCAGTCAGCCACTTCCAGGCCTCAGCTTCTGCCACTCCCTGTGCTGGGACGCCCTTCTCCGGATGCCAGGGGCCTTCCTGGGTACACCTGCGGCTCCCGAGCCACATCAGGGTGCTTCCGAGCTCTCGGCAAGTCCTCGGCATCTGGGAGTGGCAGCTGCCCAGGTCAGAGGGCTGCTGTGTGAGCTGTGCTGGGTCGCCTCACCTCTCTGAGCCTCTCGGGAACCCCGGGAAGACGAAATGAAGGGCACCCAGTTGGTTTCTAAAAGCAGGTAGCACAGAGGAGGCCAAAAGGCGGCCTGGGTGCAGTGGCTCTTGACAGACACTGCAGCAAATGACCCTTAGGTTAGATGGGAGGTGGGACTGGCAGGCTGCACAGCCCCCTGCTTCTGGCTGTGCCTTGCAGCCAGGTGGGCGGGCCCGGGTGCGGGCTGTCTCTGGTTTATCCGGTGGTTTGCTGCGCCCCTACTGTGCGCCGCCCTGGGAGGGTTGGGCTTAGGGGCCCGGGAGCGGCCCAGGGGGAGGAAGGCGCCCCACCTCCAGCCCAGGAGGGGCCTGCCAGGGCCTGCCCCTTGGCCGCCGAGTCAGCACCGAGCAGCCCCGGAAATCCCACGGAGGCCAGCGCAGGGGAGGAGCTGTGATGAAAGATGGGGCCCTGGGTGGGTGTGGGCCGAGCCCAGGGGACCCTGGCCGGCAGGGGTGGGGACCTGGCTGGCGTGGGGCTGGGGCTTTCCGGAGGAGGGGAACGAAGCCGCCACCTCTGGAGGCGTGGACTGTGTGTCGGGCGCACAGTGGGGCTTCAGCACTCGGGGACTTCTTATTGTCGAGACTTCGTGACCGCCCGGGGGTGCTCTGGCTGGGGCCCGGCCTCCCCTCTCCCATCTTGGAGGCAGCGTCTTCGGCCTTTTCCTTAGGGGCGGCCTCCAGGAGGCCCAGGTGGGGGCGGTAGTGCGGGGCGTGGCCGGCAGGTGGCTGTTCCTGGAGTGAGGGCGTGGGTCAGTTGTCTCAGAGCGGGTTTGGTTTCCAGGGCCAGGGCAGGGCTGTGCCCTGGGCGGGTGGGGGGCAGGCCCCTCCATCATTTCCTGGCCCCCAGCCCCTGGGAGTCAGCCCTGGCAGACCCCCTTGGGCCCAGGCGTTCTCTTCGGCGAAATGGTCCTCTTACGGGGGCTTTCCTTGGGTGATAACACCCTGGGCCTGGCTGCTTTGAGGGAGGGCCTTGGTGATATTTAGTGGGGAGCAGGGGCCCAAGGGAGGGTCCCAGGCTGGAGAGGGCAGAGGCTGGGACCCCCGGACCCAGCCTGGAGCTGGGATCTTCTTGATAGCTGGGACTCCCAGAGGTGGCTGAGACCCCTGGGTTATTTTGGGCCCATCCTCCAGGCCCTAGGAGAGACACCTCTGAGCCACCCAGAGCGGGGACCGTGGTCACCTGAGGGGAAGAGCGGCCCCGCAGGCCTGGCGTGGCCATCTTGGGGCGTTGGTGGCCTGGGTCAGAGGGTGGGTGCTGGGGTGGGTAGGAGGGCCCGGGCCTGTCTGATCCAGAGCTCCATCTGCTCTCACGCTCCCTGCGGCCCAGGGCCAGACGGCAGATGGTGGCAGGGGGTGGACACCACCGAAGGGGCTCCTCGGAGGCTTTCCGGGGCGGAGACCCGGGTGGGGTCCCACCCTCCCTGCTCCCAGCAGCCACATCTGAGCCCCACTGCCCCACTGCAGGCCTCGGAGCGGACGCAGGCGCTGAGCAGCCGGGGCCTGGGCCGAGGCTGGAAGGAGGGAAGGAGGGCGGGCGGAGGGGACCTGGGGAGCGTGGTGGTGCTGAGCAAGCTCACAAAGGCCTCTGTGTCGCCCAGCAGCTCAGGCCCTGTGAGGAGGGCCCTGGGCTTTGGGTCCGTCTGGACCAACACCGTGCCTCCCTCGTGGGGCCTGGCTCAAGCCCATCCGGCTGCCAGGCTGTGGGGGGCAGGAGGGTCCCATGGCCTAAAAGGAGGCCATGAGAGGCCTGCCTCGGGCCTTCTCCCCAGGGGCCTTGCCCAGGGGCTCTGGCCCGAGAGCTGCCAGCAGGCAGGGAGGAATGTGAGCTGTGCTGGGTGACTCGGGGCAGCCGGGGGCTCCCAGGAGAGGGCGGAGGGGTGGGGACAGGGGCCAGAGGGTTGCACAAGCTCCGAGTGGGCGGATGAGTCACAGCGGAGGGGAAGGTGGAAAAAAGGAGGGAGGGGGAGAGAGGGGTGGGACAGACACAGTCCCCCCAGGGCCTGGCGCTGCCCGAAACCTCTGCCCATTTGACGGATAGGGAGACTGAGGCCCAGAGAGGGCCAGGGCCTTGTCTGGGGCTGAACAGCGCAGCCGGGGTGTCTGGGAGTTCGGGAAGGGCTGCCAAATGGGCCTGTGGCAGGAGGTGATGGGGGTTCCCCGGCTCCCTGCTCCTCCCGGGCGGGGGCCTGGGCTCCTCTGTTACTCACAGCTAGGGCTGGGCTGCAGGCCGGGGGCTCTGAGGGGCAGGAAGGGGTTTAGCCTGCGGAGTCACTGGCCCTGCCCCGACAGGGCACACCCACAGTGGCCTTGACCTCGGCAGGGTTTCGTCTCTGGGTCCCCGGCCTCGACCACACCCCTTCCTGCTGACTCAGAGCCCCCTGAAAAGAACCAGGCCCGACCAGAAGGCAGGAGGCTGGGGAGCTGGGGGGCCGGGGGGCCAGCTCTTAGGCCCACTCCCAGTCTGAGTTCATATGCCACTGTCTTCTGACCGTGGGGCTGGGGCAGGCGGCCTCAGCTCACGATAGCGGGTGCCACCGGTCGGGTTCCGTTGGGACCAGCGTGAAGTAGGTGTTTTGTGGGGTTTGTTTTGTTTTGAGACGGAGTCTTGCCCTCACCAGGCTGGAGTGCAGCCGCACCATTTCACCTCACTGCAACCCCCGCCTCCCGGGTTCAAGTGATTCTCCTGCCTCGGCCTCCCTAGTAGCTGGGATTATAGGCACGCGCCACCACGCCTGGCTAATTTTTGCATTTTTAGTAGAGACGGGGTTTCAGCATGTTGGCCAGGCTGGTCTCTATCTCTTGACCTCGTGATCCGCCCACCTCAGCCTCCCAAAGTGCTGGGATTACAGGCATGAGCCACTGCGCCCAGCCTAAGTAGGTGTTTTGTAAAAGTCACTGTGTGACCTCCCCTCTGTGTCAGCCGAAGCCCGTACTCGGACCAACAGGAAAATGGCTGAGATCAGGGCACTGTTCTTGAGCACCTACTGTGTGCTCCTGTGGCACCTCAAAATGCATTTTCCTTTATGTTTTTTTGAGAGAGAGTCTCACTCGGTCACCCAGGCTGGAGTGCAGTGCCTCAATCTTGGCTTACCACAACCTCCACCACCTGGGTTCTCCTGTCTCAGCCTCTCGAGTAGCTGGGATTACAGGTGCTTGCCACCACGCCCAGCTGGTTTATGTATTTTTAGTAGAGACGGATTTCTACTAAATGCCGGCCATGTGGGCCAGGCTGGTCTTGAACTCCTGACCTCAGGTGATCTGCCCACCTCAGCCTCTCAGTGTGTCCTTTCAACATGCATTCCTGGGGGCCCTCCTGGGAGGGGTGGTGCCAGTGTGCCTGTGACACTAAGCGTCCAGTGTGGGTTTTGCCGGCACAGGACATCTGACTGCCCTTGGGCACAGCTGGGGAAACTGAGGCTGGGGAGGCACAATATCTGACTGCCCTCGTGTACAGATGAGAAACTGAGGCTGGGGGGGAGGCGGGACACCTGGCTGTTCTCATGCACAGCTGGGGAAACTGAGGCTGGCGGAGGCGGGACACCTGGCCGTCATCATGCACCACTGGGGAAACTAAGGCTGGGGGCAGGACATGTGGCCGCTCTCGTGTGTGGATGGGAAACAGGCTGGGAGTGGGACATCCCATTGCCTTCCTGTACAGCTGGGGAAACTGCGTCTGATCGCTTTTGTGCACAGCTGGGGAAACAGGCTAGAGAACTAGGACATTTGACTGCCCTTGGGAACAGCTGGTGAAACTGAGGCTGGGGAGCCAGGACATCTGGCTGTTCTCATGCTCAGGTGGGGCGCGGTGGCTGACACCTGTAATCCTAGTACCCTGGGAGGCCGAGGTGGTTGGATCATTTGTGTCCAGGAGTTCGAGACCAGCCTGGCCAACAAGGTGAAAGCCCGTCTCTACTGAAAACAACAGAGGCTGGAGGCGGGAGTCTGTTGCTCTGACACACAGCTGGGGAAATGGGCTGGGAAGGCAGATACCTGACTGCCTTCACGTTCAGATGGGAACCCGAGGCTGGGGGCGGGGGGGGGCAGGTGGAGCGCTGCTTCTCAAGGGTCTTGGGGCCTTGGCAGTGGGCACAGGAACCCCGGCGCCCCCACTCATAAACGCCCTCTTCCTCCCCCTCTGCTGCAGGTCTCGGCGCGGAAGATGGCCGGCGGCGTGGACGGCCCCATCGGGATCCCGTTCCCCGACCACAGCAGCGACATCCTGAGTGGGCTCAACGAGCAGCGGACGCAGGGCCTGCTGTGCGACGTGGTGATCCTGGTGGAGGGCCGCGAATTCCCCACGCACCGCTCAGTGCTGGCCGCCTGCAGCCAGTACTTCAAGAAGCTGTTCACGTCGGGCGCCGTGGTGGACCAGCAGAACGTGTACGAGATCGACTTCGTCAGCGCCGAGGCGCTCACCGCGCTCATGGACTTCGCCTACACGGCCACGCTCACCGTCAGCACGGCCAACGTGGGTGACATCCTCAGCGCCGCCCGCCTGCTGGAGATCCCCGCCGTGAGCCACGTGTGCGCCGACCTCCTGGACCGGCAGATCCTGGCGGCCGACGCGGGCGCCGACGCCGGGCAGCTGGACCTTGTAGATCAAATTGATCAGCGCAACCTCCTCCGTGCCAAGGAGTACCTCGAGTTCTTCCAGAGCAACCCCATGAACAGCCTGCCCCCCGCCGCCGCCGCCGCCGCCGCCAGCTTCCCGTGGTCTGCCTTTGGGGCGTCTGACGATGACCTGGATGCCACCAAGGAGGCCGTGGCCGCTGCTGTGGCCGCGGTGGCCGCAGGCGACTGCAACGGGCTAGACTTCTATGGGCCGGGCCCCCCTGCCGAGCGGCCCCCGACGGCGGACGGGGACGAGGCAGACAGCAACCCGGGTCTGTGGCCGGAGCGGGATGAGGATGCCCCCACCGGGGGTCTCTTTCCGCCACCCGCGGCCCCGCCCTCTGCCACGCAGAATGGCCACTACGGCCGGGGCGGAGAGGAGGAGGCCGCCTCGCTGTCGGAGGCGGCCCCCGAGCCGGGCGACTCCCCGGGCTTCCTGTCGGGAGCGGCCGAGGGCGAGGACGGGGACGGGCCCGACGTAGACGGGCTGGCGGCCAGCACGCTGCTGCAGCAGATGATGTCGTCGGTGGGCCGGGCGGGGACCGCGGCGGGGGACAGCGACGAGGAGTCGCGGGCCGACGACAAGGGTGTCATGGACTACTACCTGAAGTACTTCAGCGGCGCCCACGACGGCGACGTCTACCCAGCCTGGTCGCAGAAGGTGGAGAAGAAGATCCGAGCCAAGGCCTTCCAGAAGTGCCCCATCTGCGAGAAGGTCATCCAGGGCGCCGGCAAGCTGCCGCGACACATCCGCACCCACACGGGCGAGAAGCCCTACGAGTGCAACATCTGCAAGGTCCGCTTCACCAGGTGAGCTGCCTGCGGCGGAGGGGAGGCGCGTCCGCGCTCTGCCTGCACCTGCTGCTCACGGGCCCTCCCCGCCTCTGCCCTGTGTGGCACGCTCATGCACACACGCACACAGGTGCACATGTACACAGGCACACAGACATACACATACATGCACACACAGATCCACATGCATACACATGCACACAACGCAGCCATGCATGCACATGCACACACATGCATGCACACACTCATACACAGGGACAGACATACATGCACACACAGATCCACATACACATGCACACAATGCAGTCACACACACATGCACACACGCACACAGATGCACATGTACACAGGTACACAGACACACATACATGCACACATACACATACATACACATGCACACAACGCAGGCACACATGCACATGCAGACACATGCATGCACACATGCACGCACACATGCACGCACACATGCACACACGCACACCGACACATACATGCACACACGCACACAGATGCACATGTACAGAGGCACACAGACATACATGCACAAGAGATCCACATACATACACATGCACACAACGCAGGCACACACACACATGCACACGCTAATGCACGCACACATGTACGCACACATACACAGGAACAGACATGCACGCACATGCATGCGCACACACACATGCACACGCACACCGACACGTACATGCACACACGCACACCAGATGCACACATGCACAGATGAACACGCACATGCGTGCAGTGCACCAACGGGCACACGTACATGCACAAACACACAGGCACAACCCACCTCAGGCCCAAAGTTGCCGCGTCCCTGGCCAGTGTGCCTGTTAAGAACAGCCACGCCCTTGTCCTCGTGTGTGGACATCCCGGTGGGTGACGGCACAGACCAGGTGTAAGATGACAGCTTTGTCTAATGCGAAGCGTGCGTGTCAGGGCTGAAGTGCGGGAGGCGGGTGGGAAGGCACAGTCGCTCTTCTGCTGTAGAGGGCTGGTTCTTCTCTTCTGCACGTTTGGATTTTTTTCTCTTTTTGCTTTGGGAGAGGGTGACAGGCGCTCAGGCTTAGGGAGGGAGAGCCAGGCTGTTGAGTTTCCCGTGAGCCCGGTCATTGGCTTCATCAGCCAGCATTTCTGAAGCATCTTCCGGTGCCAAGCCCTGTTGTAGGTGCCGGGGACAGGCTTGCCGGTCCTGAAGGATGGGGAGAGGAGATGCAGGAACGGGCGTTCCAGGCAGAGGGAACAGCCAGTGCAGGACGCCCTGAGGCCAGCTCAGCTTGAGAGAGCACTGTGTCCCTGTGGGAACCTTGGGGCCTGGTCCCTGAACAGCAGGCGTTCAAGGCCGCGCCGGCGCAGTGTCCGATTTGGTCTTAGGAGTCCAGAGGTGGCTGGCCGGGCCTCGTAGATCCAGGGCAGGCTGCAGCGGTGGGGGCAGGAGGCTGGCAGGCAGGGACCTGGCCAGGCTGGGTGACTCAGCACCACCCCCTGCCCCTCTACCGCCCTGGGGTTCCCCCAGCCACGCCCACCGGGGGCCGAAGAAAGAGGCCATTGTCCCAGCTTCCCGGCCCCGCCCTGTGGGGACAGGAACTAGGACTGACCCCCTCCCCAGCTCCCCCTACCCAGCACCCCGGACCCCTCCCCAGCAGGCCAGGAGAGGAGGGTGCGGCCTGGACTCCGGCGCCCAGGAGTGCCAGGCAGGGGGCAAAGGTCGCTGACTGGGAGGCAGGCATTGTAGCTGGTGGCTTGCCCCTCCTTGGTGAGATTGGGGTACTGCAGATCTTGGGGGTCTCCTCTTCCTCCAGGCAGGGGTCCTGAGGTCACTGTGGGCTCATCTCTGAGCTCAGGAAGAGCAACTTGGTGGGTACAGAGAGCCCGGGTCTGCAGAGAGGACCAGGCTGGGCTAAGATGCTGCCCCCACCGCTCCACCTCCCTGGCCCAGTTTCATTCTGACTCGGGCACCGCAGAGTACACCCTACTCGACCCCCGGGCTGATCCCGTCTGTCGGGGAAACTGAGGCTGAGAGAGTGACACTCGTTGAAGTCTCTTCCTCCCACCCTGAGGCATACCCACCTGCTTCCTCTTTTCCCCACTCTGAGCCTCAGTCCCCCTTCTCCAGGGCACCAGCACCCACCCCCCAACAAAAGCCTGGGAGCCCGAGGCCCCTCTGAGTCACAGCGGGGCGTTGAGTAAGCGGGGCCTGTGGTGGCCGGGGCTATAATTACCCAGGCTGGGGCTCAGGGTGATGAAACTAGGGATACCTCCACCCCCACCCCGCCTCTGCGTGGCCTCTGGCCGGCTGTGCAGCCCCAGGCAAGGCACTTCCTCCCTCTGGGCCTCCCAGGCTCATCAGGGGAGTCTCTGCACAGTTCTAGAAAAACCTTGTGGCTGCCATCCCCTCTGTGACCCTGGCCCTCTGCCAGATCTGGGCAGAGCAGCCCAGAGACCTTGTCCGTGGGCTTTGCAGGAGGTGATCGGTAGACACCAGAGGCCTAGAGGCGGCTGACAGCGCTGGTTAGGCCAGGGTTCTGTTAGCAAGTTACCATGTTCTGTTGGCTTCAGTGGGGCCGCAGGGCTAGAGAGGTCAGGGTCTGGTTGCAAACAGCCAGGCCTTGATCCACAGGGCAACAGAGAGCCAAGGAGGGGTTAAGGTTAGGGACACCAGTTCTGTAGCTAGCGCCAGAGGGAGGGACTTAGAGCTGGAGGAACCCAGAGGGGAGACAGGTCTTTGTGAATTAGGAAAAGTAGAAGGGCATTCAAGGTAGGGCTTTGAGGGATGCATAGGAGTTTGCCAGTCCCCACACTGAAAAAGCCTTCAGTCTGTTGAGTGTAAGAAGGAAGAAGCCCAAAGTGGCTCAGATGTGGGACACAATAGGCAGCAGCAAGGAGCAGGTCAGATTCTAGCCCGGGCTCCTGAGACCCAGGGCTCCCCCCTGCCCTCCAGATCCCAGAAGCAGTCTACTTTATTACTGTGGAATGGCAACATGCAATGGAAATAGGCAAGACACCGCTACATTTTCTTCTTTTTTTTTTTTTTTGAGATGAAGTCTTTCTCTGTCATCCAGGCCGAAGTACAGTGGCACGATCTCAGCTCACTACAACCTCTGCCTGCCAGGTTCAAGCGATTCTCCTGCCTCAACCTCCTAAGTAGCTGGGATCATAGGCATGCCACCACCGAGCCTGGCTAATTTTTGTTTGCCCACCTCAGCCTCCCAAAGTGCTTGGGTTACAGGTGTGAGCCACTGTGCCTGGCCAGCAAGCCACCTACGTATTTTTACATTTTCTGACAGCCCGTTCAAAAAAAGTGAAAGGAAACTAGTGGAAGTGACTTGAAAGAAATATATTCTACCCAACCCAGTGGATGCATTTCTGTGTGGAGTCAATATGCATAATCCTCAGTGAGCTATTTTTTTTATATTTTTGTGTGTGTGTTTTTTTGTTTTTGTTTTTTTTTTGAGACGGAGTCTTGCTCTGTCACCCAGGCTGGAGGGCAGTGGGGAGATATCGGCTCACTGCAACCTCCTCCTGCTGGGTTCAAGTGATTCTCCTGCCTCAGCCTCTTGAGTAGCTGGGATTATAGGCACCTACCACCACGCCTGGCTAATTATATATATATATATATAAATTTTTTTTTTTTTTTTTAGATACAGAGTTTTGCTCTTGTTACCCAGGCTGGAGTGCAATGGCACGATCTCAGCTCACCGCAACCTCCGCCTCCTGGGTTCAGGCAATTCTCCTGCCTCAGCCTCCTGACTAGCTGGGATTACAGGCATGTGCCACCATGCCCAGCTAATTTTTTGTATTTTTAGTAGAGACGGGGTTTCACCATGTTGACCAGGATGGCCTCGATCTCTTGACCTCGTGATCCACCCACCTCGGCCTCCTACAGTGCTGGGATTACAGGCCTGAGCCGCTGCGCCCGGCCTCAGTGAGCTATTTGACATCATCTTTTGTGTATCAGGTTTTCAAGAGCTGGGGTGCCTTTTGCACTTCCAGCGCACATCAGTTCCGACTGGCCACATTTCAAGGGCTCAGTAGCCACCTAGGTCACAGGCACCCCAGGGCTGATATGGTGACCGGCTTTGTAGGCTGAGCTGGGTCCACGAGGCCCCCATGAGGTGAGATGGGCAGGGAGGGGCCCTCCAGTCACACTCAGTCCCTTCTGTCTCAGGGCTCACGGCCCAATCAGGGAGACAGAAGAGAAACAAGGAAATGAACAGAAACAAGAGAGATTGGCTGGGTACGACAGCTCACACCTGTAATCCCAGCACTTTGGGAGGCCGAGGTGGGTGGATCACCTGAGGTCAGGAGTTTGAGACCAGCCCGACCAACAAGGTGAAACCCCGTCTTTAAAAAAGAAAATCAGCCAGGCGTGGTGGCAAGTACTTGTAGTTCCAGCATTTTAGGAGGCTGAGGCGGGTGGATCACCTGAGGTTAGGAGTTCGAGACCAGCCTGGCTGTCATGGGTTTTGAAAACCCCATCTCTCCTAAAAATATTAAAAAATCAGCTGGGCGTGGTGGCGGGTGCCTGTAATCCCAGCTACTCAGGAGGCTGCGGCAGGAGAATCTCTTAATGTCTTTTTTCTTTTATTTATTTATTTATTTATTTTGAGTCGGAGTTTCGCTCTTGTTACCCAGGCTGGAATGCAATGGCGCGATCTCGGCTCACTGCAACCTCCGCCTCCTGGGTTCAGGCAATTCTCCTGCCTCAGCCTCCTCAGTAGCTGGGATTACAGGCACACGCCACCATGCCCAGCTAATTTTTTGTATTTTTAGTAGAGACGGGGTTTCACCATGTTGACCAGGATGATCTCGATCTTTTGACCTCGTGATCCACCCGCCTCAGCCTCCCAAAGTGCTGGGATTACAGGCTTGAGCCACCGCGCCCGGCCTTTGTTTTTTAAAGCCAGTCAAATTTAGCAGTAAGGGGTTGTATACCAACTTTAGTGACACTAATGTTAATAAGTTCTGATAATCCACTACCATCGCACCAGCCTCTCTTAATCTCTTGAACCCCGGAGATGGAGGTTGCAGGGAGCCGAGATCACGACGCTGTACTCCAGCCTGGGCAATAGAGCGAGACTCAGTCTCAAAAAAAAAAAAAGAGAGAGAGAGTCAGATGGTGATGGCACGAGGATGGAGACAGGGCTAGGGGAGGAGGTGACATTTGAACCCAGATTTCACTGTGAAGATCCAGGAGGCAAAAAGAAAGCGCCCTGGACAGCGGGAACAGCATGTGCAAAGGGCCTGGGGTAGCTCTCGCTTTGCAGGTCAGGGTGGAGCCCAGATGGGGGAGCGAGGCTGAGTTGAGGGGAGAGGGGAAAGTGGGCGGATCTGGGTGCTGTGGGGTGGGGACTCAGTTACTAGGGTGACCAACTGCCCCAGTTTGTCCCAGACAGAGGGGTTTCCCAGGATGCAGGGCTTTCAGTGCTAAAACCAGAACAGTTGGTCACCCTGTCTGTCACCAAACACCCTGGTGACCGTCCGCCTCGAGAGGGCAGGGATGTTTGCCTGTCTTGTTCCCTGTGGTATTTTCAGCACCTGGAACAGGGCCTGGCCCTCAGCGGGAGATCGGCACACGTCCATGGCGTGAATGAAGACACCGGGCACTGGCTGGCCTCGCCCCACCCCAGGGGTAGGGGCAGGATGAGGCGGCCGAAGCCCGCTGTCTACTTTTGCGGTAGGGAAGCCGGTTCAGGGCGGGTGCAGTGGCTCACACCTGTAATACCAGAGCTTTGGGAGGCTGAGGCAAGAACATGGCTTGAGCTCCGGTGTTTGTGATTTGAAATTAGCTGGGGCAGCTTAGCTCGACCCCTATCTTCCAAAACTTACATACATATGTATATTTTGTTTAATAGCTGTTTTTTTTTTTTTTTTTTTTGAGACGGAGTTTCACTCATGTTACCCAGGCTGGAGTGCAATGGCGCGATCTCGGCTCACCGCAACCTCCGCCTCCTGGGTTCAGGCAATTCTCCTGCCTCAGCCTCCTGAGTAGCTGGGATTACAGGCACGCGCCACCATGCCCAGCTAATTTTTTGTATTTTTAGTAGAGACGGGGTTTCACCATGTTGACCAGGATGGTCTCGATCTCTTGACCTCGTGATCCACCCACCTTGGCCTCCCAAAGTGCTGGGATTACAGGCTTGAGCCACCGCGCCCGGCTTAATAGCTGTTTAATAGGGTGAGGCGGTGCATGTGCTACTCTGGAGGATGAGCCCAGGAGTTCGAGGCTGCAGAGAGCCATGGCCATGTCACTGCCCTCCAGCCGGGGTAGCAAACCAGAGCCTGCCTCTTTTTCTCTCTCCCTTTTTTTTGGAAACAGTCTCATTCTGTTACCCAGGCTGGAGGGCAGCTGCATGACTGCATGATCTCAGCTCACTGCAACCTCCACCTCCCACGTAGCTGGGATTACAGGCACGCGCCACCACGCCTGGCAAATTTTTTTTTTTTTTTTTTTGGACGGAGTTTTGCTGTACTGCTGCAACCTCCGCCTCCCAGGTTCAAGCGATTCTCCTGCCTCAGCCTTCCTAGTGGCCAGAATTACAGGCGTCTGCCACCCCACCTGGCTAATTTTTGTTTTTTGTTTTTGTTTTTTTTGAGACAGTCTCGCTCTGTTGCCCATGCTGGAGTGCAGCGGCATGATCTCGGCTCACTGCACCCTCTGCCTCCCCGGTTCAAGTGATCCTCCTGCCTCAGCCCCACTAGTAGCTGGGATTACAGGCGCACTAGACCATGCTGGGCTAATTTTTTTGTATTTTTTAGAAGAGTCCGGGTTTTGCCATGTTGGCCAGGCTGGTTCCAAACTCCTGACCTCAGGTGGTCTACCTGCCTGGGCCTTTGAAAGCGCTGGGATTACAGGCTTGAGCTGTAGCACCTGGCCTAGACCTTGTCTCTTAAGTTGAAAAAGGGGTCGGGCATGGTGGCTCACTCCTGTACTCCAAACACTTTGGAGGCCAAGGCGGGCGGATCACCTGAGGTCAGAAGTTCAAGACTGGCCTGACCAACATGGTGTAACCCCGTCTTTTTTTGTTTGTTTGTTTTTTTGAGACGGAGTTTTGCTCTTGTTACCCAGGCTGGAGTGCAATGGCGCGATCTCGGCTCACCGCAACCTCCGCCTCCTGGGTTCAGGCAATTCTCCTGCCTCAGCCTCCTCAGTAGCTGGGATTACAGGCACACGCCACCATGCCCAGCTAATTTTTTGTATTTTTAGTAGAGACGGGGTTTCACCGTGTTGACCAGGATGGTCTCGATCTCTTGACCTCGTGATCCACCCGCCTCGGCCTCCCAAAGTGCTGGGATTACAGGCTTGAGCCACCGCGCCCGCCCTAACCCCGTCTTTAAAAAAAAAAAAAGAAGGAAAAAGTCGAAAAAGGAAAGGAGAGGGGGTTCAGAGAGGGTTAGCGTTTTCCCAAGGCCACACAGCACACAGGCCCTCTGCAGATGTTCGGAATGCGAAGTCGCCGGGACTGGCCCCGTTTGTCCGGGGACCCTCCCCATCGGGGAGGCCGGGCATCCATGTCCCTCTGGGGTGGTCCGGCGGGGTGGGGGGGTTCTGCCGCGTCCGTTGAGGGTCCCCGGCCCCGCTGACCGTGCCCGCCCCGTGCCCCGTCCACAGGCAGGACAAGCTGAAGGTGCATATGCGGAAGCACACGGGCGAGAAGCCCTACCTGTGCCAGCAGTGCGGCGCCGCCTTCGCGCACAACTACGACCTGAAGAACCACATGCGCGTGCACACGGGCCTGCGCCCCTACCAGTGCGACAGCTGCTGCAAGACCTTCGTCCGCTCCGACCACCTGCACAGACACCTCAAGAAAGACGGCTGCAACGGCGTCCCCTCGCGCCGCGGCCGCAAGCCCCGCGTCCGGGGCGGGGGGCCCGACCCCAGCCCGGGGGCCACCGCCACCCCCGGCGCCCCCGCCCAGCCCGGCTCCCCCGACGCCCGGCGCAACGGCCAGGAGAAGCACTTTAAGGACGAGGACGAGGACGAGGACGTGGCCAGCCCCGACGGCTCGGGCCGGTTGAATGTAGCGGGCGCCGGCGGAGGAGGTGACAGCGGCGGTGGGCCCGGGGCGGCCCCCGACGGTAACTTCACAGCCGGACTCGTCTAAAAACCAAAAAGAGAAAACCGAAACCCGAGAGAGAGAGAGACAGAGAGAGAGAGAAAAAATCACCCACCACCCCCCCAAAAACACAAAAAAAGAAAATCTATCTATATACAGATATCTATATCTATATATATATACAGATATATATATATGACGCGTCACAGAATCTAGGGTAGCGCTTTCTCAGATTTCCCTCTTTTCTGACGTTTTTCCTCCCTCGACAGGGGCCCCGGCCCTCCCTGGCTCCCCTTCCCCCCCCACCCCCACCCCATCGCTGGGTTTCGGGGCTTGGTTTGGGGTTTTTTTTGTGGGACACAAGGAATCCGAGACCCCACACAGCCCCCTGGGCACCCGGCATGGGGCCCGGGCCGATCTGAGGCCCTGGGTCGGGGTGAGGGTGGATGGGGGGAGCTTGGGGGAGGATGGGGTGGGCTTTTAATTTCCTCCCCTCGCTGGTTTCTATGAGTCTTTCAGACAAGACCTTAAATGATTTCTGTCTGCTCTGAGCAGACGTTAAAATGGGCCCCCGCCCCCGCCCCGCACCCTCCTTCCTCAGGGCACTTACTAAGGGAGGGGTCTCCCTCTCCATCTCCCCAATGGCCTCCCCACCTCCAACCCTGCCTGCGGCCCCCCTCCCCCACCCCCTGCATCTCCTGGCCACGAGACACAAACCTATTTATTTCCAGGCCTGGAGAAAGGAGATCGGACTGGGGTTCCCAGGGGGGCACCAGGATGGCTCCCGGGGGGGCCTCCCGCCGCCTCCCTTCACGGCACTTACAGCTGGCGGGACCCCCAGGGACCACCCCTCAGGGCGCCCCCCCACCCCCGTCCGGTCCACCTAGACCCCCAAGTTTGGAGATTCAAAACTTCTGTCTTGGCCCTCTCCCCTGAGCCCCTCTCCCAGGTTTTTAAAGCACTTTTTAGATTTTTTTTTTTTTCTTTCCTCCTT